CTGTATCACAACCTTTCTTACTGTTCATGGAGATAAAAGGCACAAGTACACAACATTTCTTGATTTAAAAAATGCCTTTGATATTGCTAATAGGGAAGTGATTATGTATGAATTAGCGAGAATGGATATAGGGGGACATTTATTACAATGGATACGAGGCTATCTTACCAACCGGAAGTCCTCTGCACTGTTCCAAGGCTACAAGAGTGAAACTAAAGTAATGCAACTAGGCACCCCACAAGGAGGAGTACTTAGTCCTACCTTGTTTAATGTTCTAATTAATGCTTTACTAAAATCAATCCCAACTAGTCCGGCAAACATCACTATCAGCTATGCAGATGACATCCTTGTGCATACTAAAACCCACCGCGAAATGCAAACAGTCTTAAATTGTATACATACAGCTTGTGAGAGCCTTGGTCTTGTAATCAACGCTGCTAAAACTAAGGTATTTAACAGACAAATTGGCAACCGCAAAAGTGGACCACGAAAACTTAAGATAGACAACATACCAATAGACTATGTCTCTTCTTTCAAATACCTTGGAGTCTCTGTCCCTTGTACCTCAACTGCAGTCAATAAGTTACATCAACAATGTAGAGACAGACTCAAGGCTCTCAGAACTGTAGTGGGGTACAGCCCGAAATATGGTGTTAATATTAGAATAGCAAGAATGATGTATTTAGCGTATATAAGGTCTCTGATAGACTATCATGCACCAGCTTTGGTCCTGCAGAATGGCAAAAGTATTGATAGACTGGAAAAAATGCAAAATGAAGCACTCAGAATTATACTTGGCTGTCCTATAACTACCAAAGTTCTCAACATGCGGAAAGAATTAAATATACTTAGCATTCGAGATAGAATATTTGAAATTAATCTTATGATGGGACTAAAGCTGCTGCGTGATAACAAAAACAACATTGTGTCAGTTGCACTGTTAGAACACATACGAAATGGAACTAGCGAGTCTAAATGGATTCAAAGAACTGCCACTCATATTAAAATGATGGGACTGCACGATGTATATACAGATGAAAGAGTACAGCACTTCCTTCCACCCTGGCAGATAGTACCTTTTGACATCCTGACCCCTGCATACCCCACCAAGAAACTAATCACAAGCAACCCTCATGCTCAGCTTGCTGCTAAATTAAGCACCATAGAGCACATTCACAATATACAAGCTGAAAACAACATTGCACAGACCATATACACTGACGGATCACTCAATACAGCTACAGGGAGGGCAGGAAGTGCTGTTATTGCTCATCAGCCCGATGGCAGCACAATTCAAAGAAATATCCGAATTAGTAACTGGGCGTCCACAATGCAGGCCGAGTTGGTAGCGATACTGGTAGCACTCGAAATTATTGACAACACTGAAGTAGACAGCTTAATTATTTCTGACTCCCTATCCTCACTACGAGCAATAAACAGTTTGCAATCAAGTAATAACGTGCTTGTCTTGGAAGCTAGACGTAGATATGTAAGAATACTTAGCAAGAGGGTAAATATAAAAATGTTGTGGATTCCTTCTCACATTGGCATGCAGGAACATGACAAAGTTGACGCCCTTGCTAAGGCTGCAGTAAATAAAGACAGTATTGAATGGAATCTTGAGTTATCAAATAGGTCCCTTAAAAGTGTCATTAGACGAGAACTCCTAGATGGATTTGAAGAAAGTAGAACAGTGCAAACTGGAACTAGTAGGTCCATTGTTCATCACAATGAAATGTGTGAAGTAAAACATGTGTATGGGGCAAGTAACAAAGTCAGTAGACTAACAGATGTTGTCACAGCTCGTATAAGACTTGGCTACAAGTATCTCTGGCAGTTCGGCTTGTATAGGGATCTAGATGAAGTAAAGTGTAAAGTGTGTGGACATAGGCAGGGACACACACTCGAACACTATATCTTGGATTGTTGTAAAATTGAGCCTTTTAGAGATAAGTCTAAGCTCACTCTGTATGATATGGCAACCTATCTTATTACCATGGATAAATTACCTGAAATCCTTGCACTGTACCCACATTTTGCTTCCAGTAGATGAACGACATATGAGATTCAGAAACAAGTAGTGTATTGTGAGGACTAATAATAAACAGAAGCTCCCCTATGACTCTGTAATATCCCCATTGGCCAAACTATTATGTATTAACGATAAAACCTACCATTAATGTATGATGACTTACTGTAAATATGTAGCTCTTGTAATAGCACTTTCTCTGTAACTAGCTGACATTGTATCTATAAGGTGTGAAGGATTGAAGAAATTGTTTATGTAATAATCTAAGATGAGGTCTGATAAAGACCTTTTGTGCCCTCTGTAATGCTTTTGCGCTACCGCTCACAGGATGAGTATGGGGTGCACAATAAACTAGCCGCCTTCGGCGGCAACAACAAAACATGTGGAGAAATGCCCGACAGACCACTGGAACATTATCTAACACAGTGCAGTTACAAACCCATTAAGATTTCAACTTAGATTCGACAGAGCAGAAGAAGTTGTTAAACACATATGGCAATATCTCACTGAAGCGACCATACGAGTCATAGACACTTATACTCCGCCCAAGTAAAACAGAAACAAGCAACACTTAGTGGGCCAGCCAGAGGCTTAGGGCCCGCTCTGGAATATCCCTACAAAACAAAAATACTACAAGAAAGGGGATTACGAGAGGATAAGGGACTATCTGGGAGAAGTGCAGTGGGAGGAAAAAATTAGAGGACAAACAGTCCAGGATATGATGAACCTAGTCATATGGAAATGCAAAGAGGCCAAAGAATAGGAGGGGATATACTATTATACCAATAGTGAAGACAAGAAGTAGGAGGAGATATAATAACCTATGGTTTAACAGACAGTGTCAGGAAGCAAAAATGAGAAGAAGGAGGGAGTGGAAGAAGTACAGAAGACAACAGACAGAAGACAACAGGATCAGATGTAACAGAGCTAGGACCAATTACATTAACATAAGAAGAGTATCGAAAAGAAATTATGAGAACGATATTGCGATCAAAGCGAAAAAGCAACCTAAATTACTACACAGCCGTATGAGAAGGAAAATGTCTGTGAACGACCAAGTGACAAGACTAAGGAAGACAGAAGGGGTATATACTGAAAATGACAATGAAATCTGCGAGGCACTGAATGCCAGCTTCCATGGAGTGTTCACAACCGAGCCTGAGCAGCTCCCATTGTTAGAAGAGATTACCCTACGGGGAAAGACTATCAAATATAGAGGCGACAACAGAGGAGATATTGAAACAGTTGACAATACTAAAGCTGTTGGGCCAGACAAAGTATCACCGTGGATACTAAAAGAGGCAGCGCAGGCCCTTAGCTTGCCTCTGGAAAGGATCTTTAATAAGTCACCAATAACAAGAGAATTGCCCAGTTGCTGGAAGAAGGCAAATGTGGTACCAATTTTTAAGAAAGGGGATAGAGAGGAGACACTGAAATACAGACCTGTATCACTAACAAGCATCCCTTGCAAAATAATTGAAAGAATAATAAGGCTAAGACTTGTTGCACACCTGGAGAACATTAGGTTTGTAAACAAACATCAACACCGATGTTTCACTGTTCAGGGAAGGGAAATCATACCTGAAAAATCTCCTGGAATTCTATGATAAAATAACAAGAATAAGGCAGGATAGGGAAGGGTATGGAGACTGCATACTTCTAGACAGCCAAAAGGCCTTTGATACAGTACCGCACACGAGACTGCTATTCAAACTTGAAAGGCAGGCGCGAGTAAGTAGAAAGGCCCTAGCATGAGTAAGGAACTACCAGGTCGGAGTGGTCAGATCGGCCGGGCGAATAGTAACAAGTGGAGTACCTCAAGGATCGGTGTTGAGACCAGGTTTATTCCAAATATATGTTAATGACATGTTTACAGGAGTAAAGTCCTGTATGTCGATGTTCGCGGATGACGCAAAGTAATGAGAAGAGTTGTGTCAGATGAGGATTGTAGGATCTTCCAAGAGGATTTAAATAAGTTCCAGAGATGGTCAGAAAAATGAATAGTGGAGTTCAACACGAGGAAATTAACAGTTATGGAAATGGTATTAGGTGATAGGAGACCAAAGGGACAGTACACACAATGAAGGGGAAACTACCTACCTGTGACGATTCGAGAAAGAGAGAGACACCATAGCCCGCGCTACCCGGAACTTTTTGTTCCAAGTAGCGAATCTTCAACAACAACAACAGAGAAAGAGACCTGGGAGTGGACGTAACACCTAATCTATCTCCTGAGGCACATATAAATAGGATAACGACAGCAGCGTACTCTACACTGGCAAAAGTTAGAACATTATTCAGAAACCTACGTAAGGAGGCATTTAGGGCGCTTTACACTGCCTACGTGAGACCAGTCTTAGAGTATGCTGCGCCATCATAGAGTCCCCACCTGAAAAAACACAAAAGGAAACTGGAAAAGACTCAAGTTTGCGACGAGGCTCGTCCCTGAGTTACGAGGGATGAGGTTTGAAGAGCGTCTGAAGGAACTGAACCTGGAGACACTAAAAAAAAAGAAGGGAGATGGAATATGATAGGAACATAAAAAATACTCTGGGGAATCAATAGAGTGAAAATAGAAGAAATTTTCACACGGAATAATAACAGAACGAGGAGACAAGGATGGAAGCTGGAAATTCAGATGAATCACAGAGATGTTAGGAAATTTTCATTTAGCGTGAGAGTAGTGGAAAAATGGAATGCACTCAAGGAGCAGGTTGTGGAAGCAAACTTTTCATAATTTTAAAACTAGGTATGATAGGGAAATAAGACCGGAGTCATTGCTGTAAACAACCGACGGCTAGAAAGGCGGAATCCTTTGCAGACACAAATGAGTACACACACACACACACACACACACACACACACACACACACACACACACACACACACACACACACACACAAACACAAACATACATAAAAAAAAGACAAACTACATATATATTTTTCCCCTACTAACTCCAGGCGAGACATCAGTACTCACCAACCACGCGAAGTAGGACTCTGCCGTTGTGTGTGGGCGAAGACTGGAAGTCGAGGCGGCAGCGAAACTCTCCTTGGTCAGTGAACTCCACCTCCCGCACCACCAGGACCCAGCTCCACCCACCTTGCTGCTCCTGGAAGGTGGCGCGGCCCCCAAACGCGTCCGAGGGGCGTGTGCTCCCACTTCCTGCCTCCTGGAGGCCTCGTGAGCGAAAATCCACACTGCAGAAGGGGACCAAGAGAAGGGTGTTGACACTTGATATATCACTGTTGGAAGTTGGAGTTTGGTATCGTATATTTTGTTAAGGCATTTCAACCGAAGGGGAGTTGTTAAGGCTGAGGTGACAACTTACAGGCCAATAAACATGTATACTGTATTCCTATATAAAGTTCTGGAATAAAGTAAACCTCAGTGAATATACACCGACAGAGTAGAATACATCTCTCGGTGTACTTGTATACCATGTATGATGGTGTAGTGTAATTCAGTTATGATAATAGTGTAGATTGTGTATTCGCTTTAATGTATTTTTATATCTTGTAAACACGTCATAACTGTGTAATATAATGATACATTCGCAGGTGTTATCAAACAGCCCCATGGCAGTCACCTAACCTATAGCGCAGTGGCCTGCGTAGGCAAGGCACAACCGGAAGGTATGGGGCTCAATTCCCAAGGCAAGACAGAGAACGTCGGCGGAACATAGATCTAAGACATTTTAAAGAAACTAATTTGTAGCCCCTGTTTGTTTTCTATCATGTTTGGTATCTCTCTTCTGTCATGTTAGGAACTCTAACTTCTTATTGATTGGTCTTCTTCTAAAATAATCTTCCCTGCCTCTGTACTCTACACAGACGCCGTCTGGTCGACTCTGCTGTGATACACAACCTACCCAACATGAACCTCAGTCCCGACTGTGTTGCTGTTCACTCTTCCCTTTCACAGTACTTAAATACTCTAACCTTTCTACCAAACGTGATCTGACATGAACCTACCCCCCCCCCCACCACCTTTTCTCTGCCTATTTCGTTCTTTCTTTTCGTTTAAGAAAGAAATTCATTCTTAAACCCCATTATTACCCATTTTACACCCCATTATTACACCCATCCCATCCGTACCCTTCTTCTTGTTCTTACCTTCCTCTAGGAATTTCTTCCTTCCTGATCCTCACTTCTTTCTTGCCTACTTAATGCCCCGCGCCTCACTCGTTCCCCTTACTGGAGCATGAATAGTAGGTGCTCAACATTGCAAACATAATTATATGTCCTAAAAGTGGCCATCAATTATGCAATTGAGAATAATTTACAAGATGTCATCATCCAAACCGACTCTAGATCCAGACATTGTTATTTAGCCAGCACAGAGATAATATGAAACTCATCACAAAAATGCTACATACATGAAACGAAGCACACAATCTAGGGCTGTCAATCACTACTGTTAACACCACGATCAATACTAGGCTCACTGTTAATACTAACCAACGAAAGCACCACTGATGACACCAGTCAATACTACCACCCCTATTAAACACCACAGTTAATACTAGCAACATTAGATTGTTGTCATTGCAGTAAAACACACACACACACACACACACAAACTCCCTTCCCCCCCCCCACACACACCCACACCTAAATCACCACACACAATCATAGTAACGTTACTAGTGGTGGTCCAGGATCTTAACACCTTGTGTTCCCAATGATCACAAAGACTCCCTACATCCTGTGGTACCTACAACCCCTGCTACTTTTGTACCCTCTGGATACCCCAGCTCTACAGTATGCTTCCTAAGCCATCTACGCGCGCTCTCTACTACCCCGGCCTCTCTAGTTACTGTATCTTAACACAGGATGTATCCACATCACGTACAAATCCTAGGAATATTCTACCTTAGTAGATTTCTTCTAAGCTTACTATATATCCCTCATCCTGTCTTCTAATGTTACAAGTACACGGTCGGAAACTGTTTTCAATATTCTAACCATCTGAAGATGCCTCATCTAAAGATGCCTCAACTACTCAAAACTGTTTTGTGCATTATTGTCTTCGGAATCATTAGCTTCCTCGCCATACGATAAGAAAACATAAATTATGGGAGGGTGTTAAAATAGTAAATTTTGAGACACGAACAAACACGGGCAGAAGCCTCCCCACTGACGAATCTTTTGATGGAGCGGATTCGAGGAGTTTCAAGTTACGAAACGCCGCTGCCATCTGCTCCAGGCTGGGTGGATGAAGCCAACAGCTTCTTGGCGTAATTTAGCCTTCGTAGAGACACAACTGCAATGAATATGAGGCAATACATTGACCAGCTAAAAGCGCATTTGGTAATTTTGGGTGTGAGACCCGACCCACAAAAAACAGGCTTTGTAAGCCTCGGGGTTCATATCATAATGATTGTGATATCAATGGTAGCACTTCATTAATACTACAACAAAAAGGCTCGTGAGAGAAACAGTTGCCTCTAGAAGACTCCAAAAATAGCAGCAAATAGAGTGCTGGGGAGCACCATTCCTTTCCACCGTCCCTTGAGGTTACCTTGAGGTGTTTCCGGGGCTTAGCGTCCCCGCGGCCCGGTCGTCGACCAGGCCTCCATCCCTAATCCTGATCCCCTCCAAGTACTATAATAGGGATGATATAAGTGCAATGTGTGACTGACGGCTTGGCGCTTTTCCCCGACAAGTTCATTCCCAATCCTCACTGTGATCGTGGGTCTGCGGGTTCGCCACCACCCATCGTCTGCGGGTCTGCGGGTTCACCACCACCCATCGTCTGCGGGTTCACCACTGCCCATCGTCTGCGGGTCTGCGGGTTCACCACCACCCATCGTCTGCGGGTTCACCACCACCCATCGTCTGCGGGTTCACCACCACCCATCGTCTGCGGGTTCACCACCACCCATCGTCTGCGGGTTCACCACCACCCATCGTCTGCGGGTTCACCACCACCCATCGTCTGTGGGTCTGCGGGTTCGCCACCACCCGTCGTCTACGGGTCTGCGGGTTCACCACCACCCATCGTCTGCGGGTTCACCACCACCCATCGTCTACGGGTCTGCGGGTTCACCACCACCCATCGTCTGCGGGTTCACCACCACCCATCGTCTGCGGGTTCACCACCACCCATCGTCTGCGGGTTCACCACCACCCATCGTCTGCGGGTCTGCGGGTTCACCACCACCCATCGTCTGCGGGTCTGCGGGTTCACCACCACCCATCGTCTGCGGGTTCACCACCACCCATCGTCTGCGGGTCTGCGGGTTCACCACCACCCATCGTCTGCGGGTCTCGCGGGTTCACCACCACCCATCGTCTGCGGGTCTGCGGGTTCACCACCACCCATCGTCTGCGGGTCTGCGGGTTCACCACCACCCATCGTCTGCGGGTCTGCGGGTTCACCACCACCCATCGTCTGCTGCGGGTCTGCGGGTTCACCACCACCTCAGGCTAGTAGTTAGGTTATTTATTTATTTATTTAGTTATTATTTATTAATTTTTTATTGATTTAATTTTTATTTAATTTTAATGTTATGGTGGTACTGGTTGTTGGTGGTAGTGGTTGTTGGTGGTAGTGGTTGTTGGTGGTACTGGTTGTTGGTGGTACTGGTTGTTGGTGGTGGTAGTGGTTGTTGGTACTGGTTGTTGGTGGTACTGGTTGTTGGTGGTGGTAGTGGTTGTTGGTGGTGGTAGTGGTTGTTGGTGGTACTGGTTGTTGGTGTGGTACTGGTTGTTGGTGGTACTGGTTGTTGGTGGTAGTGGTCGTTGGTGGTACTGGTTGTTGGTGGTACTGGTTGTTGGTGGTACTGGTGTTGGTGGTACTGGTTGTTGGTGGTACTGGTCGTGGTACTGGTGGTTGGTGGTACTAGTGGTTGTTGGTGGTAGTGGTCGTTGGTGGTACTGGTTGTTGGTGGTAGTGGTCGTTGGAGGTAGTGGTCGTTGGTGGTAGTGGTTGTTGGTGGTAGTGGTCGTTGGTGGTAGTGGTCGTTGGTGGTGGTAGGGTGTTGGTGGTGGTAGTGATTGTTGGTACTGGTTGTTGGTGGTAGTGGTCGTTGGTGGTGGTAGTGGTTGTTGGTGGTAGTGGTCGTTGGTGGTAGTGGTTGTTGGTGGTAGTGGTTGTTGGTGGTACTGGTGGTACTTGGTGGTGGTAGTGGTCGTTGGTGGTGTACTGGTTGTTGGTGGTACTGGTCGTTGGTGGTGGTGGTGGTTGGTGGTACTGGTGGTGGTAGTGGTCCTTGGTGGTAGTGGTTGTTGGTGGTAGTGGTTGTTGGTGGTACTGGTTGTTGGTGGTAGTGGTTGTTGGTGGTAGTGGTTGTTGGTGGTAGTGGTCGTTGGTGGTAGTGGTTGTTGGTGGTACTGGTTGTTGGTGGTAGTGGTAGTTGGTGGTACTGGTGGTGGTGGTCGTTGGTGGTGGTAGTGGTACTTGTTGGTGGTACTGGTCGTTGGTGGTACTGGTCGTTGGTGGTAGTGGTTGTTGGTGGTACTGGTCGTTGGTGGTGGTAGTGGTCCTTGGTACTGTAGTGGTGGTACTGGTGTTGTGGTAGTGGTCGTTGGTGGTAGTGGTCGTTGGTGGTAGTGGTTGTTGTTGTTGGTGGTTGTTGGTGGTAGTGGTTGTTGGTGGTAGTGGTCGTTGGTGGTACTGGTTGTTGGTGGTGGTAGTGGTCGTTGCTGGTACTGGTTGTTGGTGGTAGTGGTTGTTGGTGGTAGTGGTCGTTGGTGGTAGTGGTTGTTGGTGGTACTGGTTGTTGGTGGTGGTAATGGTCGTTGGTGGTACTGGTTGTTGGTGGTACTGTAATGGTCGTTGGTGGTACTGGTCGTTGGTGGTAGTGGTAGTTGGTGGTACTGGTCGTTGGTGGTACTGGTCGTTGGTGGTAGTGGTCGTTGGTGGTAGTGGTCGTTGGTGTTGGTACTGGTTGTTGGTGGTACTGGTCGTTGGTGGTACTGGTTGTTGGTGGTACTGGTTGTTGGTGGTTGGTGGTAGTGGTACTGGTTGTTGGTAGTGGTTGTTGTTGGTGGTACTGGTTGTTGGTGGTACTGGTTGTTGGTGGTAGTGTTTGTTGTTGGTACTGGTTGTTGTTGGTACTGGTTGTTGTTGGTACTGGTTGTTGGTGGTACTGGTGGTGGTACTGGTTGTTAGTGGTACTGTTTGTTGGTAGTACTGGTTGTTGGTGGTACTGGTTGTTGGTGGTACTGGTTGTTGGTGGTACTGGTTGTTAGAGGTACTGGTTGTTGGTGGTTCTGGTTGTTGGTTGTACTGGTTATTGGTGGTACTGGTTGTTGGTGGTACTGGTTGTTGGTGGTACTGGTTGTTGGTGGTAGTGTTTCTTGGTGGTACTGGTTGTTGGTGGTACAGGTTGTTAGTGGTACTAGTGGTGTGTACTGGTTGTTGGTGGTACTGTTGGTGGTTGGTGGTAGTGGTACTGTTGGTGGTGGTACTGGTTGTTGGTGGTACTGGTCGTTGGTGGTACTGGTGGTTGGTGGTACTGGTAGTTGGTGGTACTGGTTGTGGTAGTGGTTGTTGTTGTTGGTGGTAGTGGTTGTTGGTGGTAGTGGTCGTGGTACTGTGGTGGTACTGGTCGTTGGTGGTACTGGTTGTTGGTGGTACTGGTTGTGGTGGTACTGGTGGTAGTGGTACTGGTTGTTGGTGGTACTGGTTGTTGGTGGTACTGGTTGTTGGTGGTGGTGGTTGTTGGTGGTACTGGTTGGTGGTAGTGGTTGTTGTTGTTGGTGGTACTGGTTGTTGGTGGTACTGGTTGTTGTGTGGTACTGGTTGTTGGTACTGGTAGTTGGTGGTACTGGTTGTTGGTGGTACTGGTTGTTGGTGGTACTGGTTGTTGGTGGTACTGGTTGTTGGTGGTACTGGTTGTTGGTGGTACTGGTTGTTGTTGGTACTGGTTTGTTGTTGGTACTGGTTGTTGGTGGTACTGGTTGTTGGTGGTACTGGTTGTTGTTGGTACTGGTTGTTGGTGGTACTGGTTGTTGGTGGTACTGGTTGTTGTTGGTACTGGTTGTTGTTGGTACTGGTTGTTGGTGGTACTGGTTGTTGGTGGTAGTGGTTGTTGTGGTACTGGTTGTTGGTGGTACTGGTTGTTGTTGGTACTGGTTGTTGGTGGTGGTACTGGTTGTTGTTGGTGGTACTGGTTGTTGGTGGTACTAGTTGTTGGTGGTACTGGTTGTTGGTGTTACTGGTTGTTGGTGGTACTGGTTGTTGGTGGTACTGTTTGTTGGTGGTACTGGTTGTTGGTGGTACTGGTTGTTGGTGGTACTGGTTGTTGTAGTGGTGTTACTGGTTGTTGGTGGTGGTACTGGTTGTTGGTGGTACTGTGGTTGGTGGTGGTGGGTGTGTTGGTGGTACTTGGTTGTTGAGGTTAGTGTTTGTTGGTTGTACTGTTGTTGGTGGTACTGGTTGTTTGTGGTACTGGTTGTTGGTGTTGATTGTTGTTGTGGTGTTGGATGTTTGTGGTACTAGTTGTTGTTTGTGGTACTGGTTGTTAGTGGTTGGTGGTACTGGTTGTTAGTGGTACTGGTTGTTGGTGGTACTGGTTGTTGGTGGTACTGGTTGTTAGTGGTATTGTTGGTGGTTTGTTGGTGGTATGGTGGTTGTTTGTGGTGGTGGTTGTTGGTGGTGGTTGTTGTTGGTACTGGTTGTTGGTTGATGGTAGTGGTTGTTGGTGGTACTGGTTGTTGGTGGTACTGGTTGTTAGTGGTACTGGTTGTTAGTGGTACTGTTTGCTGGTGGTACTGGTTGTTGGTGGTACTGGTGGTAGTGATTGATGGTGGTGGTGTGATTGTTGGTGGTAGAGGTTGTTGTTGGTAGTAGTGGTTGTTGGGTACTGGTTGTTGTGGTAATGGTGTGGTACTGTTGTTGTGGTAGTGGTTGTTGTGGTATTGTGTTTCATCGTGGTTGTGGTTGTTGGTGGTTGTGATTGTTGTTGGTTGTGGTTGTTTGGTTGTTGTTGATGGTAGTGAATGATGGAGGTACTGGTGCAGGTACTAGTTGTTGGTAGTAGTGGCTGATGGTGTTGTTGGTGGTATTTGTGGTTGTTGGTAGTGGTTGTTTGTTGATGTCTCTGGTTGTTGGATGTTTGTGGTAATGGTTGTTGGGTGTTGGTGGTAATGGTTGTCAAATAGCCCAGAAACATCGAAACATGCCCTGAAAACATGTGTGTGTGTGTGTGTGTGTGTGTGTGTGTGTGTGTGTGTGTGTGTGTGTGTGTGTGTGTGTGTGTGTGTGTGTGTGTGTGTGTGTGTGTGTGTGTGTGTGATCTGAGGAGAGGCAATAGCAATGTTATTGATGCTTTGACCTCTCCACCAACTTGAACATCGGAAGAAGAATTTCACTATAGCTTATTGGTAAAAAAAAATAAAAGGTTATTGAAATCTTATTGAAAGCACATGAAAAAAATTATTGGCAGTACAACATTTGACTTCAGCTTCATAACATCATGGAATGCAGCTGAGCTTCTACTTCATAACATCATGGAATGCAGGTGAACTACCACTTTATAACATCGTAGAATGCAGGTGAACTTCCACTTTATAACAGTGTGACCACTACTTTATCCATCATCGAGGGGGAAGAGGAAATTGCATTGTCAACTGCATATGCATCGCGCCAAAAATCGATCAGGACCACATGTAGCATCTCAAAACCTAAGTGTATATCGTGTATGAATGTATGTATGTGGTTTGAGGAATTTGTGGGACCTTATGATTTATTGTTTAGGTATAAGTGAAATTCGTCCATCACAATCTATTGAAGGGAAATGTACGTAATTCTTTTGGGATACGGGAATAGGGGGTTGGCTACTCCTTATAGCTGATGACTTGTGCTTATAAATGTAGCTTTGTTACTACTTGTGCATTGTTAGCTGGATGGAGATAGATAGCTTGTGTTTGTAGTCTGTGTAGAGGAGACTTTTACCTCAAGAGTTGAAGCAGTAACCATGTGGAGGGAGTTAGTGTTTAAAGATAGTTCACGATTTGAAAACTATGTCAGGAGAAAAAAGTCTATTTAACCTTTTCGGCCAAATAAATGTCTTGTTTCGCCACATATATTTGGAAAAACTAAATTTAATGATACACATGTGAGAAAAAAAACAATCTTCTTTTGTCAATTCTCATTCCAGCCTCACATAGTCAATTTCCCATGATTCCTATGCAGAAAACATTGACAGATACTAAAATTGGATGATAAACATTAATTACTTAAAAAGATACAACAATAATAAAAAAAAGGCATAACAAAATCTTGAAAACTAAAAAGTGGTATCTTGATTTGCCTAATAAGCCAAGTTTTCCTGAATTAATATATTTTCTCTAATTTTTTTTCTTATGAAATGATAAAGCTACCCATTTCATTATGTATGAGGAAAATTTTTTTTATTGGAGTTAAAATTAACGTAGATATATGACCAAACCTAACCAACCCTACCTAACCTATCTTTATAGGTTAGGTTAGGTTAGGTAGCCGAAAAGGTTAGGTTAGGTAGTCGAAAAACAATTAATTCATGAAAACTTGGCTTATTAGGCAAATCGGGCCTTGCATAGTAGGCTGAGAAGTGCGTTCTGGCTACTAGGTACGACATATATATATATATATATATATATATATATATATATATATATATATATATATACACGCACTGCTCTGAGGCGGGCTTTCTCCTTGTCTGATGTTGCGACGCTTAGCATGGCATCAGCTACTTTTTCCACTAGAGGGTGGTCCCAGCCGGACTGTTTGTGTTGTTTTGTTGGCTCTATAATGGTTGCTGGGGCTGCAAGAACATTCCACTGATTTGAACATTCAGTGAAAGCAGGATCGTGTATTCCTGCTGAATCTCTCAGGGTTGCAGGTAAAATATCTCTGACGAGGTCGTGCGATGCATGAGAGGAGGAAAGGAAGGCTGGTAGAGCAATTTGGGAGGCTGTGCGGACACCAAGGCCGCCGAGTCTTACAGGAAGGGTTGCTTGCTCCCACTGAGAGTCGTCCAATGGCAGGTTCAGGACTTTCACCAGCATGGACCTCAGAAGGGTGTCATACACATTTAACTTAGGGCTGCTGTAGGATGGAGAACATCTCAGAAAGTAGGTCAACTTAGGGAGAGACAGGCATCTTGTAAGGAGAAAGAGAGCATCATGGGCATCAATCTTGTCAATCCTGTCCTGCATTCTCTTTAGGTCAGTGATTTTTGCAGCCAGGACCTCCTCGATTGCTCGTGGGCCAATGGGGGCACCCAGGAGAGTGCAGTCCGGTGGTTCGACAACGAGAATGTCTGGAAGAGCATTTTGTATTTGCCCAGTGATGTCTGGGTTGCGGGAGATTATTTCACATTTGGATGCATTGAGAATGAGGCCTAAGGCTGCTCCCTGTTCCTGGATTTTCCTTATATCCCCCAAAATGGTTTCCGGAGTTCCAGCTAGAGTGCCATCATCCAGGTACCAGATGTATATATATATATATATATATATATATATATATATATATATATATATATATATAGCCAATTACACTTGATTAATCTTTGTATGTAGATAGGAGCTACAACATGGGCCAACAGGCCTTCCGCAGCTACCTCTATTCTTATGTTCTTATGTTTCACCCCCCATTTATCCCTTATGTATCCCCCCCCCATGTTTTCACCTTTATTGTCTTATCACCTGACCCAGTGCGGGTATAAAATCAACCAGTCCTGAAAAATCTCTTCTCTTGAGAATGAACCATGGAGGTTCAAAACGTTGTGTAAATTGTATAAATAAGTGTAATACATCCTATAGTAATTCACTTCTTTTCCTCACCTGGAAATTACGAAAATGAGTTTTGGAGAGCTCCTATTTCAGCTAAGCCCTGATGCTAAGAAAATAGTTAGAGAGATAGAAGCCCTAAATCAGAAAATAGTAAATACAGAATATGCGGTCATATTCAATGATACATGTTTAAAAGAAAACCTGCTGCCAGTATACACCAATATATATATATATATATATATATATATATATATATATATATATATATATATATATATATATATATATATATATATATATATATATATATATATATATATATATATATATATATATATATATATATATATATATATATATATATATATAAAGGGTACCACCACTGGTTTAATTAAAGGGACCCACATCCTCGAAGAAGAAAATAAGAAGAAGAAGAAGAAATATATATATAAAAGATCTCACCTGAAGACTGGAATCTTAGTGCCGTTCTTGTACCAAAGGACCACAATCACGGGGTCTTCAGGAGCTGTTGTTAAGTTACAGGGCAGGCGGGCTGTCTGACCTCTCACTGCGTATACAGCCACCAGAGGCGCTGTCAACAAACAACAACAACAAAATTAATAACGCCCTCCCGATTGAGCGCATTTATTGAACAATCGATCAACACTAGATCGATCGTTCAATTGACTGAGTAAAAATACTGGTATCGGACTCTCAAATGTAATTAAATAAAAGAAAAGACAAATGCCCATTTTGTACTAAATTGTATTATTATTTCTTATTAACAAAAAATTATTAAAGCCAAAATATCTTGCCCTGTATGAGCATTTGCCTTTGTTTATGTATCTGTGTTCCTGCGATATCTGATAGCCTGTCTATCTAAATGCATAGATTCGATATATTTATACAAATTAATCAAAAGTGTGATTTTTAGATAAATTTTGAATATAAATAAACAAAAGAAAGTGCAATTGAAGAATGAAAAATCAATGTACACTATTAATGAACGAAAGGTGAGGTGTCAATATATATATATATATATATATATATATATATATATATATATATATATATATATATATATATATATATATATATATATATATATATATATTGTTACATGAGGTTAAGGTTAAACAGCGGGGGATCGTGCTACTGATGCTATAACCTCACGCCATGGGTCTTCGCTCCCTCCACTAGGGTATCACATATCACCCTTAGGGAGCTCTACTAGTCATGCCTCAAGACCGGCCACCACCATTTGACCTTGGACCCAAGGGGGAGAGGAGAAGGCCCAGCCCACACTGCTAAGCTCAATCCTGCAGTATGTGACTCCCCCACCGGCCCTGCCCACCTATGCGTGCAGAAAATTTGCCGGACTTCTGGCCGTAGCCTCACTTCCACCTCTTACCTTCTGGTCCCCAGCTGGGTAATTCTCTCAGCGTCTCAGCAACGCCGTTAGTTCGAATATAATTTACTTACAGCAGCCTAGGACCGTACTATGTGCTGCCAGTGCTAGGATTCAAATGTACAGTCATGTTGCCATCTCAGGGTCACTCTATAGGGAATGCCAGTACCAGTGTTCAAATCTAATGTGTTGCCAACACAGGGTCTCTCTCTATGTCATGCCAGTAACAGTAGAGTATAATCATATGTCATTTATCACAAAGCTCAATGAGATGGAGGTTACACCAAAAGCAGTGATCAAACAATAAAAAGTTTACTCAAAGTAAACTACAACACACGAGATACATGTATAGACTTATGGAAATAATAATAATAATGGTGACAGCAGCTCGCATCAGTTGATGAATTAATTTAAAGGGATCACCGCCCCCTTCACTGGGCAGCTTCATCAGCATCGCTCCTCATTCCTTCACGGGCCGGCCACACGCTGTCTTCACCACACAGTAGAATGATATATTCGTGCTGTCCCACAGCCTAATCTACTCCTATGACTTATATGCTCTCTAATAAATGCCTAAGCATAACAATAGGCCTATCTTGCCTGACAACCAAGGGAAATGTGGGAGGGAAAAATGATCTACCTTAACATATCCTGTCCTCAGACGCCTAGGCTCCAGTCGCCGTTCACTGGGTACTCCGTTCCTCGCGGCGTTCCTCAGCGTTACAGAAGAAGCATTACCAGTTCTTGGGCGTCGTGAAGATCCTCGTCATCTCCGTGCTCATTCCCTGAGTGAAGTTCCTGGGCGTTGGCTCGTCCAGTCGTCACTGCACACGTCGTCTCCTCGAGTACTCCTTCACCTTGACCACACTCAAGGATCAGGATGCATCTCTTCTCCCTTCTGAGTTCCCAGTGGGAGTGATCCAATCACCACAGCTCTGAGTGCTTGGGAGTTACACTGACAGCGAGTCACTCACTCCTCCAGCTGTAGTCACTAACCCTCGACTTCTCCAAGACTAATCAACTCACGGTCCACGACGCCCTTACATCCCTGGATTAGGCATCCTCGCACTTCCCTGAAGTACTGCAGTCCTTGGTAGTCACTATATACTTGTCAGGCTGTGTATATCCACTTAAGGAGGCTCCTAGACCTCGAGAGCTCAATCGGCGCACGTCCGCGCTCAACGAAGCGCCAAGTACCTCTGAGCGTCTGGCGCCCTGCAGGCGGCGGGAAACGTCTCCCGGTGACGTCACAAACCCAGAGGCGGGTTTTGATTAGTCAATGAAGTCATGTGACCTCAGCCAGCCAATTAGACTTATTATTCTCGGTATAATAATAATAACAAAAACACAGCTTGAGAATAATTTTGAAGGAATCTTCATCGCCTAACAATAATCTTGAAATATATCCAGTGATCTCTGTTTCACGGTCATGGTGTTGGTGGCAGCCAAGGAACAGCCAGATACATGTGCACATTAAGCCCTATCTGTCGCTGGCCGGCTGTAAGGGTAGCCGGCCCTCACACAGGGACATAAAACCCTCTTGTAGCCGGCTGTAACTGTAGCCGGCCCTCACACAGGGACATAAAACCCTCTTGTAGCCGGCTGTAACTGTAGCCGGCCCTCACACAGGGACATAAAGCCCTCTTGTAGCCGGCCCTTACACAGGGACATAAAGCCCTCTTGTAGCCGGCTGTAACTGTAGCCGGCCCTCACACAGGGACATAAAGCCCTCTTGTAGCCGGCTGTAACTGTAGCCGGCCCTCACACAGGGACATAAAGCCCTCTTGTAGCCGGCTGTAACTGTAGCCGGCCCTCACACAGGGACATAAAGCCCTCTTGTAGCCGGCTGTAACGGTAGCCGGCCCTCACACAGGGACATAAAGCCCTCTTGTAGCCGGCTGTAACTGTAGCCGGCCCTTACACAGGGACATAAAGCCCTCTTGTAGCCTGCTGTAACTGTAGCCGGCCCTCACACAGGGACATAAAGCCCTCTTGTAGCCGGCTGTAACTGTAGCCGGCCCTCACACAGGGACATAAAGCCCTCTTGTAGCCGGCTGTAACTGTAGCCGGCCCTCACACAGGGACATAAAGCCCTCTCGTACCCGGCTGTAACAATAGCCGGCCCTCACATTGGGACATAAAGCCCTTTTATATCCGGCTGTAACGGTAGCCGGTCCTCCACAAACATGAACGTCCCCTCCACAAACATGAACGGCCCCTCCACAAACATGAACGTCCCCTCCACAAACATGAACGGCCCCTCCACAAACATGAACGGCCCCTCCACAAACATCCCCCTCCACAAACATGAACGGCCCCTCCACAAACATGAACGGCCCCTCCACAAACATGAACGGCCCCTCCACAAACATGAACGGCCCCTCCACAAACATGAACGGCCCCTCCACAAACATGAACGGCCCCTCCACAAACATGAACGGCCCCTCCACAAACATGAACGGCCTGTGGGAACCGACCTGTGAGATTTATATTTATTTAATTTATATGAATTTATATTTACGTTAATTTATATACTTCGATAGCAATTTGTATAATGATAAGTGGACTGTATTTCTGCAATAATCTCTTAATCTCACAAATCGATCCTCTACACATTAGGGGGGGTTTATATTAATTTATATATATGCAGCCAATCAAACTACAGTAATAGACTACATACATTGAAGAGGTTCCTTATCTTATAGTACAGCAGGTTAGTCCACCAGGTATAACTAGGGTGTAGACACCAAATTATCCTCTTTGAGGTAGCTTCCATCACCCAGTAACTGGTGCACAAAGTCTTGCTTCCTCGTCTTGACCTGTTAAAAGGGCGCTAGCTGTAAAGCCAGAATCCTATATATGACAAGTATTTCAGAGAAAACACTGTACATGGAACAATGAAGACCTGGCTTAATTACCTTTAGTTTGAGGCTATCTCATGCTCTAACCGGCAAACCCTACCCAATGACATTAATGGCCACTAATGATAGATAATGGGTTTCGGAAAGAACACTTAACTTGATTTGTTGACAGCGTGTTGATAATGGTACACCTTTGGTTTCCATAACACTACGTCCAAGTAAAATTAACAGGAGCCGTATTTGCTCCCGTGTGCCTCTGGTCTAGTATAAACAATGTCTGCCCTCCTTCCCCACTGACGCCTGGCCTACATTGTCCAGATGTCAATAAGTGATAGAAGGGTCACATTTACTCTACTTTAATATTGATAATTAAGTTAATTTATATGAGATGTTTTTATAATGGTAAAGTCCTAAGACTAATGTATTTAAGAATAATTCCCACCATAATAGGTGGTGAATATAATAGTATGTGGTGATGATATCCCGTTTTCTATAGACGGTAATTCCACTACAAGTTACGTTTTCTATGGGTAACTTGTTGGTAATACAGCAGCAATTATTATCTGTCTGTATGATATATTAAATGGTGTCGGATTTTCCGACACGGCACTCCACAAACATGAACGGCCCCTCCACAAACATGAACGGCCCTAGCCTGGGAACAGGAAATGGTTAATCAATAACAGATAACCAAAGGTGACTAGCAGGTGACCAAATGTGGTTTTGGAGAGATAACACTTTGATAAAAGAAAAGGGGGAGAGAGAGAGAGAGAGAAAGAGAGAGACAGAGTGGGATATGGAAAGGGGGTGTTACCATGAATGGAATGGATCTGAGGCGTGTGAGAGGCTAAATGGAACACGACCAGCAGGATCTCTGGTGGATTTAGTAGCGAGGCGGTTGCAGGAATTTGTGGGGAGGCAGAAACGGAGTGTTTTGGGCCCACGTTCGAGCTCCGAGCAGGAAGGATCGACTGGGTACCGATCTGTAACTCGCCACCCCTCCTCACCCTGCAGGAATTGGGGACCTGGTTCTAAAGCGATTAGAGGGGTCGTGTTTTAGGGGAAACTAGTAGTTTATAAGTCTTAGATGAGATATGAGAAGAGGAAGATCTGCTAAGCCTGCTAACCAGAGTCAGACGTCTGCTCCTGTACCCACCTATGTACAGAGAGAGAGAGAGAGAGAGAGAGATAAAGAAAGGAAAGGAGAAAGAACACAATAAGCATAACAAAACACATGCGCACAAAACCCAAATTACAAACTGGGACACAAATTTCGAACCGTAGAAGTCGATCTGTGGGTTGAGTAGTGCAACAAGTTGACAA